TTTTTAAACGAATCCTACTTGTCCTTTTAGATAAGAATGCAGCTTAAGCAGAAATTTCATTTTTGAATATATGATTAACGACTGACCAGTCTTTCTTTAAAACCATTTAAAAAGTTGCGTAAGACGACGAAAAAGGAATGCTGATTCGGCAGTTGTGTCAGAAAACTGAAGATATTCGCACAAAAGTAGTAAGTCCAACTTTCTACTTATCTGACGTCGTAATCGTCTGCTTGACTTCTTTAATTGATTACTTCACCTCTATTACTTTTCAACACTACCATTATTTATTATTCCTCTCTCCATATAAGTTAGTTTCAAGTTTCTCACCATGGATACTGCTCATGCCTCTTGAAAATTATTTTCGCACCCTTTTCTTGTCACCTCTAATCTAACACAATAATTTACGGATAAACAAATTCATGATATCATTCCTCTATAAATATATTTGTAATAAATATTCACATACAACGAATGTAAATATTCATTACGAATAATACTTATAGTAAACTGATTCATTCGGAAATGCACAAACGTTTTATGGTTATAATTAGTCTTACGATCCCCTCCCCAATGAAAGTTGGTGGTCGGTCAGCAATCTGCTTCACAAAACGTCTCATCGACATTAGACTTCTTGCTATCGATGGCTCCGATGAGTTGCAACAACTTTCAACTATTGACAGATGCGACTGCTGCTTCCATCTCACTCGAGCGTTCTGATCACCAGGACTGGGGTTTCTTAAAGAAATGTTGTCTGATCTGTCATGCAAAGAATAGATCAATGTAATTGCTGCCTGGTGGAATAAACGGAAGAGCGTAAAGAAATGCGAGGAGCTCAAATAGACTCGATGTTGATTAGTGGGACGTCCTTAGAAGTCACAAACAGCTTTACTATACGTTTTCATAGCGTTTTGTAAGTGAAGACGATGGTTATATGAACTTCCTGGCAAGCCAAATACTAGCGGTGAATCTAGCTGGGTTTGGTATTTAGTTGCAATACTAAGTAAAATCATATTGCTTACATTGACGCGTTTTGGACGATGATTTTGATGACCACTAAAATGAAAGAGGAACTTAGCAAACACGAGACCTTGGTCAGAGTCCGAACAGGTGCTCTGGAAAGAGCAGCGTTTCTGATTACACCCACTCAATCAGCATCTGATTGCAGTACGATCTCTTTTTTTCCAGGTTTCATTGACAAAGGGAGGATGCCAGGTAATTCGACGGCTACAACCGTGTAGAGAATTGGTGGTGGTGAGAAATAGGTTGGTATCTGCAGAAGAGGTCCTCCATTACCTGATTTGCAGTCAACTAACTCTCAATGGCTAGCCAGGCGTACAGCATTGTATCTAGACACCCAATACTTGACTGAACGCAGATGTCAAAACTCAGCATTAAGCTCCCTAGATATCAACCGGGAACTCTTTGTAAAAAAATCACTCAAATAATGATAGAATTCATCCTTAACTGCACCCGGCTTGCTTTCAGATGGGATATAGATGGGCATGAACGAACATTGTTTTCCTAGTCAGCTACATCTCATAACAATCGAATTTCTTAACCCAACGGGATGCAGAAGAATAATAATGTGGATCCAATCAGTGAATGTAATCTTATCTTTCATATACAGTGCGACACCAACAAGAGTGATGACAGCTCCCAACGTAATCCAGAAGCCTCACTAGCCAAAACTCTGTCTGGGAATACTAAAGCTGCTTTCAATGAGGAACTGTTTAGAACAAACCTCATCAAGAACCTGAGCACCATTTCTATTCTACTGTAAAAGCAGTGTTGAAAACCATACGTGACTTTCAGAAAGTGGTCAGAAAGAGCCAGTGGATATTACAAGCCTCATATGAATTAGTGGATGCATGAAAACGCATCTCTTCAGGGTTCGACTATAAAGAGGAACTAATACAACTCAAACGTCGACTGACAAAAAGTCTCAGCAGTGACTGCGAAAAGTGATGGGCAGTGAAGGCTGAAGAGATGAAGAAGGCAGTGGCAATATGTAACAGTAGACAGTTATTTGGACTATTTAAGGAAACAGGAGCAAAAAGGTTAGCGATGAGTGAGACTGTAGCCGAGAAGGATGAGTCTTTAATTCACATATGGGAGAGACGACTGGAAGGATGGATAGAATACTTTGAGGAATAGCTCAAGAAGCCTCCAGTTACTATTCCGTTGCACCATATCCAGTCGGATCTTGAAAGGGACACAAAAATCGGGTCTCTGAAACTTCTAGAAGTCGAGAAAGCTGCAAGCAATCTGAAACAAGGAAGAGCAGCCGGGTCAGACGGCCTAGTATTGTAATTATTCAAGTATGGTGGCTGAGGATTAATGACCAGGTTAACCTAAATGCTATTATATAGGAGTTATATATGATCCCCTCTGGCTGGAGTTAATCGCCGATTATCCCAGTCTTCCAGATTAGTGAGTAGTACTCCAGTGTTAACCATAGGGGAATTAGCCTGCTGAGCATAGTGTCAAAGATTTTAGGTTCTATAATTATCAAACAACTGAGTGAAGCTCGGGAACAACAAACGCCAGAAAACCAGACAGGTTTTAGACATTGTCGTGTGTTTATCAAACAAATATTCTTTCTCCTATATGTTCAGGGACCCAACAGACACTACTCATGACAGACAACGATTGTATTTATCAACTCAAAGGCACCATTCGACTCCATCGACCTAGAGGTTATATGCCAGTATCTACTGCTGAAAAAGGGGGACAGATGAGTATATCATTCTGCTGAAGGTTCTCTACTTGAACACTCGTGGACATGCTAGAGACAATGTTGATTAATCACGGAAGTCGTGCAAATCACGTGTTCTAAATCAGGAATGTCCACTCTTCCCATTATTATCCAACTACACCAGATGTTGCTATGGAGCTCTGTCACTCGGTGTCCAACTTTACAATACAACGATAAACTTACCACAGTAGAATCCATAATGGATCAGAAATAAGCAGATAACACAATTCAACGACATGAAGATGCTGATAAGATCCAGTTCTCTAGACACCCGTAGGGGTAATTTGAGAATGTTTGTGATGTGTATCTGACCGTCCAAATGCAAACTGTTACTCCATGACTGATCTTCACTGGTCCTTCGTCTAACGATAATGACTGAAATGGTTGAGCATGCTGACCACTTCACTTGTGAAGTTGGATCACCCCTTGTAAGTCAGTGGCCAATGGAATCTTTGCACGGGTACAAAACACTCGATTAAATCTCACTAACTTATACCATTTGTGGCGCCACGGTGATATTAGATCGTCGAGTGTACTCGGAAGCAGTGTGCTCTGTTCTACTGTTTGGCCGTGAAACATGGTCATCAAAGGATGATGACATACGACTTGAGGTCTTCCACCACGGTTGCCTTCGTAGAGCAGTGTCAGTGTCAGTAATGCATAAGTCAGGTGTAGAGTTTCAGGGAGGAATGTGGATTTATGAAATGGTGAACCTTCATCGACTCAGGTGGCTGGGACATGTGTTACGCATGCCTAGTTACCATCTGCCTCATAGCACAATGTTGGTTGAATTAGGTTCAGGATGGGAAAAGGTTAGAGGTGGCCAGACTTAAACATAACATAAGCCTGTGAAATCATGGACTGTTGATCTGAGCCGTGTAGGAAGATGCAGACTTTATGGTTGGGGTCCATGTAACGACAGAAACCAGTGGTTGGAGACTCCAGATGAAGTGGCTCAGAATCGATCTCAGTGGTGCAGACGTATCCACAAATTGTCTTTATATTAAGCAGCAAACTGGATTTTAGTACTCTTCCACAGCCCTACTTTGATGGCTTTCTACCACTCTTGATTGCTCCTTCCTTGACTTTTTAAATCTTTCATCTTAGCGCATTCTCGGTTGATGTGCTGAAGAGATGAGGCAAGTTGAACCGTTACGTAGTAATGGCATATGTTTTGTTGTTGATCTTGTCTGTCTGTGGTGGTGCGTCAGAATCGCTGGATAAGAGCAGCGTAAATACTTTTGAGCTTAGAGATGTGTAGGTTACTCGAAGCACTTCATTGGGATTTTGTATACGAGTTTTATAGATACAGAATACGTCAACAGCAAGGTTTTTCAGAGTCCTAGCCAAACGTGTTTTCTGTCCGATCTGTATCGAGGTCCGAACGTTGCGGTGCGTGTAGTTTTAGAACAGTTACATCAGATATTGTACTGATGAACAACTCTCCGGAAGCAATCATCGAATGACTCACGACGATGCAGACAGACTAGAATTTTAGTTAGGGGTGAGTAGCTGAGTAGAGGAAAGATTCATATAAAGATGAGTTTGAAAATGACAAAGAAAATATATTGAATTTTGAGGTAGTTGTGGGGATTTGGAAGGAGTCCCATGCTAGGAAGAAACAGCTGTCCAGTGCTTCCAGGTTTCCTTTGTTCCTCCATCTGATGTCAGTCTACGATGAATAACAACTTGAAAGGAAATATATGTTTGAAGCTTAAAAACAGCAACGATACAAAAATAAAAAACTGAATAACTGACTGTCTTGTTTGTCATAGGAAGATTTGGTGAGTAGTTTGTATATCTAAATGTTAATGCTTATTCATAAATTATACATAAGCTGATAGTTTTCCGATGCCCGGATAGAACCAGTTAGTTGTTTTTAGAGACTACTCCCCGTGCTTTTGATTTGAGAAGTCTGGTCAACAAGAAAGAGGAGCAGAGTGGGGTGCTGAATTCCTGTTTGCCTATACATAATATGTAAACATTAGTATGGAGTGATTTTGACCTTTGACTGATTACTTTTCAGGAACGCTGTGACCTTTCCAATAAGTTCACCAATTTAGTTTTTAAAAAATGAGCTCATTGAAGAGGGAATTTTCTTCTCACTGCAATCCACTTTTCGCTTTTAATATGATTAATTGAGTTATTCCAATATATATTTAATTATAAATGGATTGTGAAAATACGTTGCATTACAATGTATTGTTTACTTAATTATAAAGACGTGAATAGATTTAAAACTTACCATCCTGTAGTGACCAAATAATCTTCATATGAAACTCGGTCGTCACATTCTCGGTCAAACTCTTTGAAAACGGTTCGGAACAAACCAGATTTTAGAGCTGGCAAGTATCTACTCGACACTTGACATAAATCCCGCATAGTAACGAAATTTTTTGATCTGAGATCCAAACTATCAAAATATAGTCTTTTTTGTTTTTCACTGTGCGAAAGATCTATCTGGAAATTTTGTTTGAGTATTTGAATGGAAGAAAGAAGACTGTTTAATTCGTGAGTAAGACATTTTTACCAACCCATAAAATGTTAGACCAACAGGCTCGCCTTTGAAATATGCATCAAAAGATGATATGAGTAGCTCCATTTCTTGTTTGTTTGGTTTTCTCCCACAAAGTTCAATAAATAAAAGTTTACAGCCCTCCTTGTCTAAATACAATCCGTCGCAACAACAATAGTTGTTGAAAACACGATGAATAAAACTGGACATAAAAGTGCAATCGACTTTTGAAACGTTTAAACGAGAGACTGTCGGTTATTAACAGACAGCTACAGATCTTGTACTAACCAGAGAAAAATCCGAACAAAAACCTGGAAAAAAAGCAAATAAATCGAGGCATGTAGATCAATCGACCTATTGTGATATGGTGGTATATTCAATAACAGCCGAAAATTGTTTTCAACATCACTTTCCGCACTAAGGACAAATAATCAATGGACCCACTTGGAGGAAAATAAGTTCCATCGCTAAGAAGATACGATAAGCATCATTCAAGTTTGTCTAACAGTTAAAAAAAGTACCTCATGATAGTAGAATTGTCAGAAAATATTTGCTCGAACTTGAAATTTCCTACACGTCACACACAATCCAGAACACTCAGACCCACTTTATAAACGTGTACCTGCGCTGTCACAGTAAATCAGTTCGCTATCACAATGCAGTAGCAAATCTTTTGATAAGCATCGAAATTGCGCTGCAAATAAAGCGACATAATAAAAAGAAATTACATACAATTCTGTATAAATACGATGGACCAAATCATTCTGACCCCATTTCAATGCGATAAATCTCAAAATGTACGGAACCTATACGTACATTTTGATTATTACTATGCAACTAAAACCTGTAAGAAGAACCTACTAAAATAAAAATAAACAAATCACCGATGGACCAGAGAACACGCCTAACGCATTTAAGTGTAAGTCAGAAACAAGATCACAATCGATACTGTGCATCAATTTGAGGGAGGCAACACTTACTTTGATATAGATTATACCTAAATGGCTTGAAGGACGAGACACTTCCGACCGACAGCTGCTACCTTCACCTAGTGGTCAGGCCATCATACCACAATGACCCGAAAAGCTAGGCTGGTAGAACACTTGTTCCCTTTAAGTCCAACCAAACCAGAGAGAGGTTAGTTAAACAGTGGTAAGACGAAAAGCAGTTTAAAAATTATCAAAATCAACATAGGACAGGGCATCGCTGCGTAACGATCCAAGTTGCCACATCTCATATCAGCACACCAAGTAACAAGACAACGAATTGGAAGATGAAGAAGGGGAGAAAAATCGATCAAAGGAAGTAAAAAGCACAAAAAGAGAAGGGAGAATGAGAAAATGATGGGATTAAGTATAGGGGTTAAGGTGTGTATAATAGATGTATACATCGCCACTGACATCGATTCTGAGCCACACCACCTGGTCTCCAACCGCTAATTTTTCTCAAGGGTCAAAGACTTCATGCATTGAAGCCATGTTTTAGTCTGGCCGCCACGAGTCCTCATCAAACCTGAATCTACTTCGGCCAACATTGCGCAACGAAGAAAACGGTGGTTAAGCATACATAACACGTATTCCAGTCATCTCAGTCGATGGAGGGTCATAGCTACAACAAATAACTTACCTATACACCCGAAAACTCTACGCCTGCGTTACTCACCTGGTGACATCACAAAACACAACCTATGCTACGAAGGCAACGGTGGTCAAACAAGTGAAGCATCATATTCTACCATTAATGGCCATTTTTCACAGCCATAAGGTAGAGCAGAGCAAACTGTAGCATAGTACACTAGGCTTTTAATAGACAACGGGATACCGCAGCGGCGCCATAAATGACGAAATGGCGAAATTCAGCTACACCTTTAGTATCTGCGAACAGATTTTGTCGACCACTGACCACCAGAGCTGACCCGACCATTTAGGCAAGTGAAGAGTTCAGCGCACTCAGCCACTTCAATATCTACTGTTAGCTGCGGCAATGCTCTAAGACCAGACTAATAGTCGTTCAACCTCACACTGAAGTGCGTTTCTGACCGCCCAAATGCAAACTGTTACTCCATGACTGATCTTCACTGGTCCTTCGTCTAACGATAATGACTGAAATGGTTGAGCATGCTGACCACTTCACTTGTGAAGTTGGATCACCCCTTGTAAGTCAGTGGCCAATGGAATCTTTGCACGGGTACAAAACACTCGATTAAATCTCACTAACTTATACCATTTGTGGCGCCACGGTGATATTAGATCGTCGAGTGTACTCGGAAGCAGTGTGCTCTGTTCTACTGTTTGGCCGTGAAACATGGTCATCAAAGGATGATGACATACGACTTGAGGTCTTCCACCACGGTTGCCTTCGTAGAGCAGTGTCAGTGTCAGTAATGCATAAGTCAGGTGTAGAGTTTCAGGGAGGAATGTGGATTTATGAAATGGTGAACCTTCATCGACTCAGGTGGCTGGGACATGTGTTACGCATGCCTAGTTACCATCTGCCTCATAGCACAATGTTGGTTGAATTAGGTTCAGGATGGGAAAAGGTTAGAGGTGGCCAGACTTAAACATAACATAAGCCTGTGAAATCATGGACTGTTGATCTGAGCCGTGTAGGAAGATGCAGACTTTATGGTTGGGGTCCATGTAACGACAGAAACCAGTGGTTGGAGACTCCAGATGAAGTGGCTCAGAATCGATCTCAGTGGTGCAGACGTATCCACAAATTGTCTTTATATTAAGCAGCAAACTGGATTTTAGTACTCTTCCACAGCCCTACTTTGATGGCTTTCTACCACTCTTGATTGCTCCTTCCTTGACTTTTTAAATCTTTCATCTTAGCGCATTCTCGGTTGATGTGCTGAAGAGATGAGGCAAGTTGAACCGTTACGTAGTAATGGCATATGTTTTGTTGTTGATCTTGTCTGTCTGTGGTGGTGCGTCAGAATCGCTGGATAAGAGCAGCGTAAATACTTTTGAGCTTAGAGATGTGTAGGTTACTCGAAGCACTTCATTGGGATTTTGTATACGAGTTTTATAGATACAGAATACGTCAACAGCAAGGTTTTTCAGAGTCCTAGCCAAACGTGTTTTCTGTCCGATCTGTATCGAGGTCCGAACGTTGCGGTGCGTGTAGTTTTAGAACAGTTACATCAGATATTGTACTGATGAACAACTCTCCGGAAGCAATCATCGAATGACTCACGACGATGCAGACAGACTAGAATTTTAGTTAGGGGTGAGTAGCTGAGTAGAGGAAAGATTCATATAAAGATGAGTTTGAAAATGACAAAGAAAATATATTGAATTTTGAGGTAGTTGTGGGGATTTGGAAGGAGTCCCATGCTAGGAAGAAACAGCTGTCCAGTGCTTCCAGGTTTCCTTTGTTCCTCCATCTGATGTCAGTCTACGATGAATAACAACTTGAAAGGAAATATATGTTTGAAGCTTAAAAACAGCAACGATACAAAATAAAAAACTGAATAACTGACTGTCTTGTTTGTCATAGGAAGATTTGGTGAGTAGTTTGTATATCTAAATGTTAATGCTTATTCATAAATTATACATAAGCTGATAGTTTGATGTGCTGAAGAGATGAGGCAAGATGAACTGTTACGTAATAATGGCATGTTTTCTGTTGACCGTGGGCTTTGAAAGACGAATAGTCGTTGACTACCGGGTAGTAATTCCGATCAAAAGACCTCGACAGTTCTGCGATTGATTGGTATGCCTACCAAGGGATAAAATCATTAATTCAGGAATGGTGTTCACTAATTATTAAGGTGTGAGAAATAAAGTGCAGTGTTGAGTAGTTTTTATCAGTTAATGCTTTATTCACGTAAGCATCATTTTTAAGTGGATTCTGTCAATAATTTTCATGACGTAGTGATCTGGAACGCTTCTTCTTTCGAGGTTCTGCCATTCGAGAAAGGTGTGTCGGATAGTGGATCATAAACTTTTCAAATGCACAGTGCTTTTTGGACACGGAGCCTGTCTAGAGATAAATCTTTATGCATTGTTCTTGGGTTATGTCTGTTAGGTTGTAGCAACCAATGTACGAAGAAACTTTTGGAAAAAGGATTCCATACTCATGTTATAATATGTAGAATCATTGACAAAACCTCCATAAGAAGCCGTATATACCTGAAGCCTTTTTCAATCAATCGTTTAGGTTCGGATTTTCCGGAGAAATCATGTGAATCATCACGTGAGTACTAGGTTGGTCGAAGAGATGAAAAATCAATAGGATTCATATACAGCAGGTCTGGAAAAAGCCTAGGTCAGTTTAAATATATATAAACCAATGCGTTTTGTTTGCTTTTTCCGATGATGATGACGAAAATACGTTTGTTATATTACCGCGTTTTTCCATTTATCGAGGAACTGATTATTGTCTAAGCGTCCGCACATATATACCACTTAGGTTATATCAAGTAGTCACTACAAAATATAGCAAGTGATAAAACAGGGGTATATAGAAAGTAGTGAATGGAGTATACAAAAACCCACTTCGATCAAACCACCCAAAATAATTATTTGAATTTTTCTAGAAGTTTACATCATAGTAGCAAAAAGATAGAATTTATGAGAAGTACAAAGTATAACGAAGAACCCAAGGCCCCCATAAAATCGAGATGTTTAGTGTAGCCTATAATCACAAGCTTCCCAAAGTCAAAGACTACAAAATGTTACCCACAATACTGTCTACAAGTTGTCAGTCAGTCAACTGCAGACTTCGCATGAGAAAAACAATGTCTTTCTAACACGTGACACCGAACATTAATAGTCGGAGTATTGGAAACTGGTAGTTCCTGAACTACCGTGTCCAGTTCTTGTGTTATTACTACTTAACTGAGGGCTACGTAGTACCAATTTCTACTATTCCAACATTTTTTCTCAAAGAAATAACTCCGTCCTCCTGTGAATTTGGTTCAGCTAAACACTGTCAGTCAACCACATTCAAGAAAGTAAAGATCAATAAGAATGCAGAGTATCAAGAACACTGCGACTGTGAAAATATTTGCAAATTACGTCTGCTTACACGACAAAAAAGATATCTAGGTTTTCAACAAGTTTATCATCTTTGAAACCATACTACCGTCGGTATTGCCACTTATCCACTGACTAGTGACCATGTTAAGGGTTTTAAGAACTTTCTATTACAACTCTACATATTACTAATGTTGTTTTTGTGCACACTAGTCGTTCGACCAATGCAGCGTTTCCCGAGACGACAAGTTCATAAGAGTAACAAATTTTCAACAAGATCATATGATTTCTAGCCGCTTGTGTTTACGGCAGCTGTCAGTTGAGTCGATTTTTTAATGACAGGCAGGTCACATTCTTCTGATTAGTTTCTTGTTCACTGACAGTGTCTTTTCTTTATTTTATATCGAACGTATCACGAACACGCGGTTTGTTAAAATTTCTAACTAACCCACTTCTGTTCTAGTAGCTTTCTCAGGTTCTATTTACGTTTCCAAGCAAGACATATATCGATGACCACTTAGCTATGTACTTTTCGAAGTAAACATCCAGTCTACATATTTTAGCGCGGAAAATATATCCAGTGTTGTTACCATTGAAAGAAAAAGAGGCCTAACGTGTCAGAACTCCAGAAAATAGTACATGTGTTTCAACAACCTAGTGTAGTTATGAAAAAATTATTTGACACAGTCAAGTGGACCCTTTGAAAATTGATCATATCCTAAAAGAACTCTAGGTGAAAACCAGGATAATGCAAAATATAACCAAATCATCTCTGAATATCCCATACACAAGCCACAACACATCATGAATTTCAACTTTTACAAGCAATATAACTGCATACGAATGACCGTAACTTAGTCTGCGTCTTAATTCATCAGCAGCCTATGCAGCGTGAAATATAAGGTAAGCACGAACAAGAGAAACCCCGACCTTACAAAATAGAATTTGCGCACTAAGATTCTCTTTATATATCCCAATCATCTTAGAGCAGTCCAACGCCAAATTCCCACATCTACTTAGCAGAATATGGATAAAAAGCATCTGACATGGAGTACTGATCGCTGGTTTATTGTTATATGAACATCTATTCATCACTACATATAGTCAGGCGAATCACTTACAGTTGAAAAATTTGCAAAAAGAACAATTGGAGATTGAAATACAAGTCTAAACAATGATACACAATGTAAGTACGTAAGCAAACCAACTATTCAGACTACCTGTTACGCACCTTTTATATCGGGCGCTACAAACCTCTTTGCCTATGCATGATGCAGAAACTTACGTGATTTTTCAGGTATGACAGATTGTTTCATCTTCCTCTTCTTAGTGCATAAGCTAGAATCTCTGCTTGAAAACTAAGGATTTTAAGTAGTGCCTCATGAACACAAAGATTTACCACATAAATTCACTGAATCCACTGCTTCTATTGTGGGTAAGGTTTTGTGCATATTATTGGGTCTTAATTCACATGATTTAGGTCTTCTCCAATCATCAAGTTACGAGGGTAGTCGTGAATACTCCTTTCATTTCGGCGCCAAACTGGGTTTAGTGTTCACAATCGACTGTAGTAACTATGAGGCTCCGAGGATGGATTCCGACCACTGATTCATAAGTGGCAAGAATTACTGAGATACTATTCACAGGATAGTATACAGCCTACTGTAGAAGGAACAGGGTGAGATATAGTTACCGGTAGACTGTTCGAAATTGCTATTTCTCTTGTCACTAGCTATCTATCTTCGTATTTAATAACCCGGGGAAACGACTTTCGTGATACTTGCCAGACATTCTCTTCATCTTTAGAAGCTTCAGTGAGGAAAATAAAAGTTACCTAAGTTCAGTGATGGTTCAAGTGTTATAAGACTTAGCTCTTTGAGCAGGTTCGAAATTCAGCGTCCAAGTGGCAGTATGTTTGTAAGCTGAGTTACATTTGCACGCTTACACTGCTGTCAAAACGGTATCACTTTGCATTCGCGAAGTATGGCTGATGAGACGGTTCATCTTTGTCAATAGAAAATATGCTTTTACAGTGGCGTTACATAGATAAAACCTACGACGGTCAGGTTATAAGTCCTCCGGAAACCTCCTTTTTTGTCATGCTGCTGGTCATGGAAACCTCAAAATTGAGAGTGGAATAGTATTCTTTTGAGAACTACCTAAAGTTTATTTCCGTTCCTCTCATTGAATTCTCAGTCTCTGCAGAGCATTTTCACCAGGTTTCCTAAGTGAACCAGAGGTTTTACTTTCGTGAATCTGGACCATCTTCATGACCACCAAACCTATTGGTCACAATTTTTTTGCGACCAATTGATTAAACTTTCCCAACAGTATAAGTAGCAGAGGCATTCCGAACAGATGATTGAACCAGCGACCAATCTGGACTAGTCTGTGTGTAAATATTGCCTTCTGGACTATTGACCATTTCAACGTCCAAATCAAATATTCTTGGTGGAAGTTATTTCTATCACCTTCAGAAGGTAACATGGTGACCTGGAAATGAATTGATATAGCAATACATGTTGGTTATATATCTGTGGATACTTTATTGATAGTTCAGATAGTGTAAATGGGTTCTATGTGGTTAGCAAAGCCGAAAACTGAAGATTATTCCAAGGCATAAACTTTAATAATTTTAACCGGCAAACCATGCGTATGGACTAACAACGTTGGTTGGTTATAACGCAAAATTTGAACACCGCGCACTTTTGAAATTGATAGTGGGACCTGTCTGTGTGATGGGAAATGAAAGTCCATGCCCATCTCATTCGTTTTCAGCAAATTTTAATAAGATTATGCACACCACCGACTTTATATGTGAATAATTTAATACTAGATACCAGTTTGTAAACTTTCAGAAGGTATGAATTTGACGGTGCTTGTAAACTGGTATCCCTTGTGTTAAACCCATTATATGGGGATTATATTTATTATTATCCAGACTTTAACACTCTGTATACGCTGAAAAGCAATATTTTCTTGTTTGTTTTATAGCTAGCAGGATCTTCAGCTGTTTTTAATGGAGTTTAATGACATTCCATCTATGCCACTTACAACTCGCAGTCTTTTGGATATTTTGAGGTTTATCAACGTGATGAAGCCTGTTAACCCAGCCTCTCTCATGTTGACCCTTGAATGTGAGAATGAAACATTTGTTTATGCATTTACTTGATTCATTGCAAAATGCCAATTTGAAATGCGGATACTTTTCCAGACGCTAGGTCTAGAATTTAACAATGGTGGGTAGTGTATCCAGTGTAGGCCACTATAAAATTTTCTACGTATTTCCCGTCAGGTGTAGAAGGGCCTGACGTGCAGCAGAAATTACTTATGAAGACGACTAGGTTGGAGAAGCCGAAAAAGGCATGTTCACTGCTGGAGAAACAAGAGAAAATGAACTCAGCCGCATTGAAATTTCCATATTTTCGCACTTTTTTGGCCACACTGTTTCTTTGTAATAGGATCTTTCTCCCAGTCGAAAAATCGCCTTAAAATTCGCAGTTTGAAGAAACGCATCTAAGACCTTTGGATACTAACCAAAACTGAGCGGGTCTGAAGTACATCTAGAGTCCAGAACACTTCTGAATAAAAAACTAATTAGCCTTTCTCCCATGTTATTGGCTCAGTGTAAGGATAGGCGGTTTGCGGGCATCATCAAATCGATAAGTGTTGAGGAATCTGGAAAAGTTGAAGTTAGTCACATTGGGAGGACACCAGTACTTCCTGGTACGAACGTGAAGATACCGATTCTTACCGAGTCAAGGGGAACCATACTGAGTCTATCTGGCCTCACAAACATGCCTCATCTTGTTTTCCTAAAACAAAACCTCACCAACCTGTTAGTTCCGCGGCTTTGAAAGCCCACGGAAACTTTTCCAACGTGCAACGATCATCATCTCTTTGCTAAGCTCGCAAAGACCACTGCTTATCGGTGTTGGGGAGCGATTCCGCGCCCAATACAGCTCTGATACAGTTTTTGGTGCCCCATGCTATTCACATTTTATTCAGTGTGAATATAATAAACACACTCTCCTCCATTTGCCTCCCACTAATGATGCCTGACTTTTCCAGGCTTTTGAAGTGAGCAGTGTTCTAAATACACTTTCTGCTACGTTTATCTATCCGGAACGTTCTTACATTGTTGGACACCGCTGAATAGCATAAGATACTTTATCGTTTTCACAAATTTTAGCGGGACACAGAAAAAATATCTCTGGCTTGCAGTTTTTTCTGCAGTCCCACGAGAACTTAAATGATCTACAACGGTAAAGTACCAGTGAGCACTGGAAATTGTATGAGACATTAGCACCCAGTCAGCTTACTGGGTCAAGTGGCGTAGAGCGGACAAAGAATCACTCCCAGTAGTTTCTGAATGCACAGTTGTTCGTGTGTGAGGTTAGTCCAAAGTGCTTCTCTCACCTTTGATAACCACGGACTTGAGTCATAAGTGATGATTTTGTGGCCGTTATCAATAAGTGGCTGTAGACGATGGTGAATTTTGATTCATGCCCAGCGCATCTGGCTAATTATATTGTCTGACAGCAACCGATAAACATATTCTTTCCGACGGTGTTTGATATGATAGAATGTGTCCCACAAAGTCCAGACGAACCTGCAGAAATATTGCGAGGTATGGTTAACAAGGTTTAGCTAGCTTGTTGTTGGCGCCGGGAGGGTGGATGTCGTTGAGATTAAACAAAAAGAAGCATAGTAGAAAGCATACATGATAGCCGACCAAGGCCTTCTTGCCATCAGCCGCACAAACCGGTTGACTTTGAATGGTAGATTGCCGAATCCTGCTTTGTTACTGTGGCCATCTTTTCGGCTGGTGGTTGGCCTGTATTTCAGCTTCCAGTGAAACTTTTACCGATGACCGCTGGTCATAAGACTGAATATATGCCATGCCTCTCGTCATTCGGCACGCACTCCGTGGAATCTTGACAGCAGACAGCAAACCGAAACGTTGGTGTGCTTGGTGAGAATAAATGAATATTGTCTGTTCCACGCTTATTCTCGAAATTTTGACTTTCTGGCAGGCCAATCATTTTACGCAGAGATTAAAGGGTCCAGGAAGCCCAATTTATCACCCTGTTCACATTTAGATTTTCTGGAAATATTTGGATGAATACGACTAAATGGGGCACTAGAATTAATAGGAGATTTATTTACATGTTGAATAAGTCAAAGTGAGCCTTCACTGAAAGAGAAAGTGAACTTCTGTGCCACCCTTTGAGGCTTGGGGGCTTGTTCGTAACAAACCTGGTAAGTGAATGCTCAAAGAACCCTTTGACACTCGGATACCTCTGTATCCGTTGCAGTGTATCAAGAATAACTCCTGCAGTATCACTGAAATTATTTGCAGACTGCGATTACACCATCTGTATTCATATTGAGCCGGCATAATGGCCTCACTGGGTTTAGAATTTCTTCATTAAGTAGCCGCTACATGTTGTATCAACGCTTCAGCAGGTTGGGTGCCCTTTTGCATTGGTAATTTTCTTTTGATTGGCACTAACTTTGAAGAAACGCTTATAGTCCACTTCAACAAGAGCCGGCCTTACATTAAGAGTGAGATTATCCCCGAGCTCCTTTAATCCGGTTTTTGGGTTTTGATTTCTACTTTTACAGATTGAGTATTAACTCTGTGGGCATTTTCACATGGTCGTGTTTGGCAAGTGACATAAGGGATTTACGAATCTTGGCCGTCCTGAGATAATTTGTTCAGAGACCGATGCGACAAGTTCGAAGAAGAATTGATAGTGCGGTTACTTCCAGTGTCCTGTTTCAGACACTATTTGCACTTTTGAAAGAAGGTGAAAAAAAGAAAAGAAGAATGAACCTCCAGAACCTCCTGTAAAAATGGTATGTGTGCCTGTATATTCAGGAATAGATATCATTATTATCATTATTAATAACAGGCTACACGATAACTCGTCACGTAGATCACCCAAATAATACATACTTATTGGCTCAAAACCCACGGTCTCACGGAAACTCTACTTGCATTCACCGCCATGGGACAAAAACGTGGGTAAGACCTAAATTATTCTTTCACGGAGCATGTACCGTCTCGGAACCGTCTACCGAAAGAAGTAGCTGCAGCCACATCTATTGATTTCATCAAAAGAATGCTCGATAGGTACGCGGGCGTACGTGGCCTATCATCAACAGTTGCTGTCGGCGGTCAAAGGTAGGTCG